TCTATATTATATTTTCAATGAGTGTAAACAGAGCTAATTAGTGAATACAATACTTTGGAAAGTCTGAAGGCCTGTTTTTAGTAACCTTTAAAGTAGCTTCCCTTCAGAGGTTTTCTTTCACCAGTCTAAATATTTAACATTGTACTTAATGTCCTTCTTTTTAGAGAAATACATTAATGAAGCAAAATGGGTAATGCCTTGCAAACCACTGGTTGTCACAGGAGCAGGACTTCAGAGATCATTAGAAGAAATAGAGAACCACTCATGCAAAAGGTCCTACTCCACAGGATTTTTAATCCCATCCTGTAATTCCTCACTCCTCCCAGCTGTCAGAGTTTCAGGAAGTCCATGGAATATAGGATTGGTGTTTTCTAAGACATAGCACTACCAGATTTCCCAAGACTTTTTTTATTTGCAAATAAGTCCTCTCCTCTCTCCTGGCTGTACTTTTTCCATTGATTTATTTTCCCAGTCTTTAAACTAAACAACTAATACATATACATACATAAAAAAAAATATTTGCCAAATACATATATATTCTTTATTATATACATAATACAGAACCATGAGGGATGACTAGCCATAGAAGATAAATTATGAATTAAAATATATTGATTTAGCAGCATTAAAAAAATTGTGCAGTGAACTTTTCTAATTAACTGGTATGTGACAAGTGGAAACAAAATACAGCTACTTTGTGGAGTTTGTTGTTTTGGAGAAAAGGGAAAGTGCCGAATGGTTGACTTGTTGACTTCATGACTTCTGACTTTTTATTTTTTCCCTCTTTTCAACCCTGTCTAAATTACCACTACCAAATTCGCAGGGGTGCACAACAAAATTAAGCACTCCGATGAAAAGCCCAGACTTCTAGAACAAAAAACGCAACAAAAGAGAATGCAGGCATGACATCATATGATACCACCAGAAGCTAACAGTAAGGGGAAGGTTTTCAGAGAAAGAACATCTGTTTCATGACCTTAGATTTGTATATAACAAAAACTGAGCCTCTCATCCTGCTATTAGAGATACTAAATCTGACACATTGCATGTTCTTTCTACTGTCTCTCACTTGCCTTGCCTTTGTTTCTTAGGTGTTTGTTCACATACAACTGAAGGCAAGAGAAAAAAACAGGCTTTACCTGAAACCTGTAATGTACCTAGATAAGACTCAATTCATGCAGAAATCAAAACCATGCCAGGAACCCTCGGAAATCTGCTCACAGTGTTACAGCTATTGGTACCCTTTCAATGGTTTCAGTCCCAGATTCAGGAAAATTTCCCTATTTGTGCCAATCATAAGCATAAGTTTCATTGCATCATTGCTTAACGTTAGCTATCTTTTCAGAACTTGCTTGGCTCAAGAAGGATATTAAAGCATATGGTTAAGTGCTTTCCCAATTGGGGTCTTTTCTTTCTTTCTTTTTTTTTCCCCCCATAAAAGTGGCTGTAAGTTTCCTGCCATTCAGCATATTCTTGTCAACATGATTTCTTTGTTTCTAAAATTTTTACCTCTCTCATTAATAACTTGTATTTTAATAACGATTCACTCTTATGTACCTACTACTACATCTTAAATAATCCCATCATAAACCAGGTGTTATTGTTCTTTTTTAAAAAGAGTAAGTCCTCTTAAAAACAGCCAGCTCATTTTGTGTGTATCAGATGAATTGAAGTACATACTGAGCAGGAGTTCTGCTAAGTTTGGGAGGGTTTCAGGATGCCACCCCATCTTTCCAGCTTGGGTGGAAATGAGTAGAGCTTTTTCTGAATTATGGTTTGCTGAATGAGAATAACTTTGATCTTTGAAGTTACATAACTTATGCCTTAACCACAGGGGCTTTTTTCTTTTTTTTACAAAGTTACAGCTATGAATTACTACTCAAAGCATTATGTGGAAGAGTGCACGTATGTAGACTGTTGCAGTAAAGCTCATTAGAATAGGCTTGATTTTAATGAAATTAATAATCCCATTCTGAAAGCAAAGAATTCCAGAATACAAACATTTCAAAGTGAACTTCAAGGGGAAAAAAGTTCTTGAGCTTGAAGTTTATCCTTCAAAATTTTGCTAAACTGGGGCCCTAGCACAAGCTTCAGGCTGCCAAACCTGCCAAACTGTCCAGACCTGAATCCCAAGGCACATTTTGGCATCTCAGAACAGCACTGCCTTCCACCTGAGGATCAACGTTTACCCAGAACTCACATTTTGAACCCCAAATTTCCCAACATAGACAGGTCTAGGCACACAGGTATAGAATCATAGAATCATAGAATGCTTTGGGTTGGAAGGGACCTTTAGAGGTCATCTAGCCCAACCCCCCTGCAGTGAGCAGGGACAGCTTTAACCAGATCAGGTTGCT